CATCAGCGGCAATGAATCCGTCTGTCTAGTGACGATTTATCAATTTAAGCTATTATGCCGAGTGGTTATTGACACAAGTGCTCATTAGACTAGGTCATGTCCTCGTCCAAAGGCGGAGCTACCGCCATATCAGCCATATCAATGACACGGAGCTCCACTCACAGTACTCTTCACGTACTAAAAAAAATGCAACAGTGTTTTCAAAATCTAACGCAAGTTTCTTGGCCGTACGCTTTTTACCCTCGTAGATTACAACTGCAAACGCTGCAAAGAAGCTTTTTAGATAAAAAGGTAATTCAAATATTTATGTTTCTCTGAGGCCACTTTGACTATCAGCCCTGTAACCGTCTTCAGAAGCTTCGGAAATAATAGTGTCAAATGGATTGATTTCGTTACTTTCAAGCATTGACCTATGCCTTTTTTGAATTTTCCATGAGTCAAAATAAGTCCTTGCTAAAATACAAAATGTTTGAGCTCCATAACGTTGTTGAAATATTGAATGTCCTAGCCTGAAACAATCAGCACCGATCAAAGCCAAATGTTTCAAAAAATTGTAACCGCTCCACAAAAGATAAAGATTTTATATTCATACACCGCAGTTCACTTCAAAATTATGTAGCGTTACCGGCTATGACCCCCACATGAATTTAGGTTGCTGTAGACATCGCAAAACAAAAAAACGTTTATCCAAATTTCTTAAATTTTCGCATTTCATTTTTGTCAACCAGAAATGTCTCCAGTGACAATGATTCCCTCAGCGTGCCCTCAGACTCTGTATTGGGGCCGCTGCTATTCTCATACAGGGTGTCCGCAAAGTTGGGGTTTTCCTTTACAACGACGTGTAGATCTTGAAACATAAGCAATTTTTCTTAGTACCATATACACAAATGTCTTAAGGGAACCGAGATAAAGGGCTCTGCAACATCAAAAATATCTGATACCGTCCTGTAGCCGCGACAATCACCGACTGGTACAAGGTCACTGGCTCACCCGACGACAGAACTGGTCGGGGTCAGTGTGTCAGGGTCAGTAGGCAACCTTCAACCGACGGTTACGGTCACGCGTGTAGAGCTAATTGCGTAGACGAGAATCCCTCAAGCAAGCACTAGAGACGTGGCTAGAGAAGTGCAAGTATCAAAAACTAAAGTGTGGCAAACGCTGCGTGACGAGGGGCTGTAGCCGTTTCACGTCCAACGTGTACAAGCCCTTCAACCTAATGATTTTCCAGCAAGAATGCGGTTTTGTGAGTGGTTGTTGCATCAACATGACAATAATCCGGACTTTTTGAAGTGCATATTGGTGACAGACGAATCTACGTTCACGCGTAATGGGGTGAATAACTTTCGCAACACTCATGTTTGGTCAGTAGAAAATCCGCACGCTGTCCGTCGGGCACATTTCCAACAAACATTTTCGGTGAATGTTTGGGCTGGCATGGTGAACGGTATGCTCATTGGACCATTCATTCTCCCAAATCCATTGGACGGGATGCAATACCTAGACTTTTTACGCAACATTTTGCCTTCCTTGTTAGAAGATGTGCCATTAAGTGTAAGACAATCAATGTGGTTTCTGCGTCTGCTCGGTAGCGCATCAGCTGATTTCATTTTCTGTTGGAGCGGTATGATTTTCGGGCAGAGACGTACTTAGCCCTTCTCGTCAACTGGAAGAGTGATTACTTTTTCCTTTATTTTTTTTTACTTGGTTGCCCTCGTTTCACAACACATTACCTTTGTTATTTCAAGGGTAGTTGTTTCTGAAAAGGAAAACCCCAACTTTACGGATACCCTGTATATCTATACTTTCGATTTAAGTTAAGTTGCTCCATTATTTTGACCCAGATACCTAATGTAAATCATGCTACCCAAGTTTTACAAAACGATGTTAGTAAATTAAATAGTAGGGTACTCTTCAGATCATAAATCTGCTTGTTAATCCACAAAAGACTAAACTGAATATTAATTTTGCGCCAAACGGAACACAGCTCTTGAAACATCCAGGTAAAATAACAAATCCGCAATTTTCTGATTCTGCAAAAATTCTTAGTGCTGTCTTTGATACAAAATTAAGGTTTATCGAGCATGTTAAAAGTCTTTCACAGAAACTTACCTATGACTAATTACCCTTTACTACAATTTTAAGTTGCGTATGTGCAGCATTGGTCATATATATATGCCAAATTATTGCAATATCGTATACTACACATGTTAGAAATTTCAAATATTTTTATACGCTTCATCTTTGGCTTATACACATTTGATAATGTATAAGCGAAATACCACATTCTACAGTCTACACTGATTAAACATTAAAAAACGTACAAACAATTTAAATAATATCCTTGTTTCATAAGGAATCTAAATTGGTATGATAAGTGCACAAAAACTGGTGGAAAACTAAACATAATGTATTGTAATACAACAATAGGGAGTATATTTACCAATGGCTTGTCTCCTATTTTTCACAACTCTCTCATTGATAAGAAGTGTTTTGTGAAAATATGTAACTGTAAGCTATGGGATAGTTATTATTTTAAACTACGGTTACACGATTAGATCATTACACACAGTTGTATTGTACTACAGAATAATAAAAACTGACTAAAAGTTTACTACAATTGTTAAGTAAATACAATAATGAAATGAAGGTAAATTCATTGCAATTGTTGTTCGAACTGACTCCCGCCGTTCCTTATGCAAGCCCGTAGTCTTTTTCTCATGTTGGTACGCGTGATGAGGCCAGTAGTTGTCCTCTGATAGTGTCAGCAGCAGCAATAATTCTTTCTTCAACTGTGCAAGAGTGTCTATGGGCTCAGCGTACACCAGTGACTTTCATGTGCCCCCATAAATAATAGTCACACGGTGTTAAATCTGAGCTTCTCTCGCTGGCCACGGTGTCGGTCCACCTCGGCCAATCCAGCGACAAGGATGGTTCTCATCCAGCCACTATCTAACACCCAGACGGAAAGGCGCGGGATAGCCATCGTGTTGGTAGATCATCGGCATCCTGATATTCAGAGGCAGGTCTTCGAGATACTCCCAGAGTTCGGATCTCAAAAAGTTTTCATAGGATTCCCATTCAGGTTGTCAGGCAAAAAAACTGGTCCAATTAGATACGTATGAATGATTCCCATCCACACGTTTGCCGAAAATCTTCTTTGATGGGCTCTTGGCTTTGCCATGTGAGGATTTGCCTCTCGTGGGGCCCAATAATGTAAGTTGTGATAATTTGTTGTCCCCTCTCTTTCAAACTTAGACTCGTCGGTCCACAATATTTTAGTTAAATAGTCGTTTTCTTCTTGATCCCGATGAAGCATGTATCGACAAAAATCAATTCTTCTTGCGGGATCTCCTTCTTCTAATACTTGAACCGGTGTGTAATGGAAAGGGTAAAGTCTCGCCGAATGCAAAACGAACCAAACTTTCCACTGAGTTAAACCAAGCTGCTTTGCTATAACTCGTGTAGACGTCGTCGGGTCTCCGCCGTAGCATTCCAGTATTGCCTCTCGATCTTCGTCGTCAACAACCGAGGTCTATACCAGCATCATGACGTCTCTCATGAACCTGTCCACTTTCCTTGACGCGTTGGTACACAGAAGCAAATACTCGATGACTCGGTATTCGCCGATTCGGAAACGGTTTTCGTATTCTCGCCTGGCTTCAACGAAATTTCCATCACTTAAACCATAACAAAACAGAATATCAGCGTATTCTTCGTTACGGTAACTCGCCATTATTAAAACCGATCAAAAAAGTAAAAGTACGCCCTACCGCGTTAAAGGTTGATATTCTACTAACTACCTAAGCGTTAGTTCCCTTTCCTTGATCCGTCAGCTGTGTCAATTCATAACACACGCAGAGCTTGCTTCCGAGGAGCGACGACAGATTCCGAATACTTAAACCCGAATAACGGCACAGGGCACAAAAAATAACAAAAAGGGTCGAACCATGAAAGGCTCGGTTTACCTGCTCAGTACAATGAAATGCGCTTAGCGGTCCTTTCTAGCAAAGTAATATTGTTTTTTTTAAATGGTTTACTTACTGATATGTTATTATACCATTTTAGAAACCTAATGAAATGAGAAAGTTTTTGCAGTTATTTGTACATTTTCTTTATTATGATTTTTTTGAAAAAAAAGACTTCTTAATGTGAAAGTTGAAAATAAAAATTTTCATTTAACATTTAAATGAAAATAAATACGTTTTCAGTAGTGTTTTCATATGTTTTTTAATTTATGAGAATTATTTATTTAAATAATAACCTGAAACCACCAAAAGAAGAATGTTTAATCACCAACTTTTTTTTATCTCAACTATTTTACTCTGTAATAAGGGTTGTTTTTTAAAAAATAATTAAATTTTCCATAACTTTTTAACCTCTGAATATAGGGTATGGTATTACATACTAATTTTGATACCAAAGGAGCTCTACTATCACCTCCTAAAATGTTTTACACCTATTTACCTATCACCCTGCATAATATCTAATGATGTTCACTGTAAAACTCTCAAAAAGAAAGAATATTAGAATACCCCAGCATACGTCTACAATTTTTAATCGCAGTTTTCACTACCATGCTATTATTTATAATGACCTTATTAAGTACGAGTATATAAAGAGTTTTCGTTACATACCTTTCCACAAAAGTTAAAACAATATTACCCAACTCTCCAAACATATACCAGTTGAATTGGACCTCTTCACTTCTCCATTTGACAGACAATATCTTAAATAATATGGATAAACATATTACACACACAGTTTTAGTTATGATCTGCAAAGATGGCGGAAAGTGAGAATTCGTCTGAAAATTCGTCTCTTAAAAAGAATGAAAAAAAGAACGTCACACTGTGCCTACACTGTAAAAAAAAGTTGTGAACGTAGTGAAGTGCAAAAAGTGTAATAACTCCTTTCATCCTGCTTGTCTGGAGCAGGCAGGCGAGTTGAAAAATACCAATTGTATGAACGAATCAAGCAAGGTTAGAAGAGAGAGTGTAAACATGCTGCTCTGGGAAGAATCAACGGAGTTGGATCTTCTAAGAACGCTGGTGAAAGAACTGCAAAGCAAAAATCGAATAGCGGAAGAAAACAGTCAACTTTTGAGAGAAAAGGTGCATTTCCTTGAAGATAGAGTTGATTATCTAAATAAAAAGGTCCAACAACACGAAAATACCAAACATCCATCGGATTCAGTGACATCTAACGAGGAACCTCGCAAAATCCATAATGTGGTTGCAAACAACGAAATCGTAATTCTGGAAAATCTTAGTGCTGAACCAGTTGACGACAGTTTCGCACTGCCTGCGGCCAACTCCCCTGTCATCGTGAATTCAGCGCCCATCGCTACTCGGACTGAGAAAGATGAAGACAAATGGATAGAGGTTAGAAACCGAAATACAAATAAAATCTCGGTCAGAAACAGACCTGTTGATAAATCCAGTCGACCTGAACCTTTGAGAGGCTCCAATGTAAATATATGCAGCCTTAGACCAGCATCCAGAGTATCATCTTTGTTTTTATCTGGCCTGGCACCAGAAGTTACTAGCGAAAGCGTGAAAAATTTTCTGAAAGAAAACAACTTTAATGAATACACCTGCGAAAAAATGAAAACCAAGAAAGGAAAGTACTGCAGCTCATTTCGACTTACTGTTCCTCATGATGACATTGATAAATATTTATGTCCGGATCTGTGGCCAAGGGGCATCCTAATAAACCATTTTCGGAACTTGCAGCGCCAAAATATGGTAAAGGAAAACCTAAACAGCAGGAAGTAAAGATTCTGCATATAAATGTGAGATCTCTAAGAAGAAAAATAGATGAGTTGGAAGCCTTTCTTGTTGATGAGGACATTGATGTACTGTGCCTGACAGAACATTGGTTGACCAAAGAAGAAATGGAAGTTGTCCATTTGCAGGGATACATGATGAGAGGGTCTTCTGAACGGAAGGACTTCACAGGTGGAGGAACTGCAATTTTTACCAAAAATAAATTTAATTCATGTGTTATAAGTATTAATCCTGCCTTTTATATTGAGAAATGTATTGAGTACTGTGTGGTTTATTGTCAGAGTCTGAATGTTTATGTTTTAACTATTTACAGATCTTCTTCGGGGAATTTTGATACCTTCTTGGAATCAATGGAGGGAATATTAACACAATTGAGTAGGAATAGGCAAATTATTCTTGCTGGGGATTTCAATGTAAGTTTCAACACATTAGATGTTAATACAAGTAAATTGTATGACCTTCTAGCTAGCTTTGGCTTAGAAAGAACAATCTTTGAACCAACTCGTGGGGACTCCTGTCTTGACAATGTTTTCCTTAGTAGTGCGATGGAGCTGTGTGGCTCTCAGGTATGTGATATTGGAATATCAGATCATAAAGGTCAGCTGGTTAAATTTCTTGGTTGTGAAACCACAGGTTTTATTCAAAATAAAAAAATGTATAGACCAGTAACACAAAGAGGTTTGTTTATGTTACACAGTAGATTGTCGGAGATATCTTGGGATTTCATTACTGTTGATAGTACCAGCGGTGAACAAAAGTTTAGCCACTTCATGGATATTCTTCAAGAAGCCTATACATACTCTTTTCCAAAGAAAACTTATGTGGTAAGATCCGACCAGGGCAATAATATTTCCTGGTTTAATACCGAACTAAGTGCAATGAGGGAACATTTGAAGGATTTTGAGAGAGCTGAAAGGGCAGTATGGTTTTGTGAGTGACCAGTATTATAAAAACTACAAAAATCTATATAGAAATAAAATAAGAAAAGCTAAGATAAATGCTAATGACAACCTTGTAAAGAGCTCAAGTAATCCTGCTAAAACCGTGTGGGATATCATTAACAAAAAAAGAGGTAAGAGTAATAAGTGCCCTGGGAGCAGTGACCTGTCACCTGATGACTTTAATAATTTTTTTGGTAATATAGCAGGTAATATAGTAAATCACATCCCTGATGTACATTTAGATCCTGTTAATAATATTGATTTCCTGGTACCGCCACCTCTGTTTTCTTTTTCTGAAGTCACATTTAACGAGGTTCGCGATGTAACAGATAATCTCAAAAATAAAAACAGTAAAGATATTTTTGGTTTCAATTTAAAAATTGTAAAATGTATAACATAATTTTGATCCCTCTAACGCGACTGATTAATATTTGTCTTAGAGAAAATATTTTTCCAACTGTTCTAAAGAGAGCTAGTGTCACACCTATTTTTGAGAACGGCAATGTTGATTCACCAGAGAACTACAGACCTATATCCCTTCTTCCAGTTATCTCTAAGATCTTTGAAAAATGTATGGCTTTGAGACTGGTAACCTTTTTTGAGGCAAATGAATTGTTTTCACAATATCAGTTTGGTTTTCGCCAGGGTAAGAGCACTGTTATGGGTGTACTTAACCTGGTTTCTTCTATAATTGATGCTTTCCATGGAGGAGGGTATAACACGGTTCTTTTCTGCGATCTTAGTAAGGCATTTGATTGTGTGAGCCATGACATCCTTTTAAAAAAGCTCCTTGCTTACAACTTTAGTTATGATTCCATTAAACTAATTGAGTCTTACCTTAGTAATAGAACTCAGGTGGTGAGATGTGATGGAGTGACATCAGCGGAGCGAAGTGTTAATATTGGCGTCCCACAGGGCTCCATCTTGGGCCCAATTCTTTTTTTAATTTACATAAATGATTTACCTCTCAATAACAATATGGCAAACTTTACTCTCTTCGCGGATGATACGACCGTCTCTCACACCGCTAATAGTTTTGAGCGCTCAATGGCACAGTCTCTGGCTGCGCAGGATGAGGCTGAGCTGTGGTTTTGCTCCAATAAGCTGTTGCTAAATAAAGATAAGACAAATAGAATGGTGTTCTCCATGCGAAGCCTGCCTGGAGACAGTGGTTTGGTTGATGAAGCCAAGTTTCTGGGGGTTACTTTGGATCTAAGATTGCAATGGGGCCTTCACATTGACAGTGTTGCTGGAAAGGCCACCAAAGGTATATATGTGCTACGGAGTTTGTCTTCTTGTGTTTCTGTAGAAATATTGAGAATGGCTTACTTTGCCATTTGCCATTCACATATATCCTATGCCATTCTGGCTTGGGGGCATTCTTCACGGGTCCATAGACTGTTCGTCTTGCAAAGAAGAGCAGTTAGGGTTGTGAGCCGTCTGGGCTGCAGGGACGATTGCAGAGATACCTTTGTCAAGTTGGAAATCCTTACTGTGCCTTGTTTATATATTTTTGAAAATCTACTATTCGTTAAAAGAAACTCTAACTATGTAACTCATGGAAACGTCCATGAGCACAATACTAGGCATAAGAACAATCTAGTACCTTCTTATTGGCGACTGAGAAGGTGTCAAGATGGACCTGGTTATTGGGCGGTCAAATTTTTTAATGTACTTCCAGACGGCTTAAAATCGCTTCCGTTTAAAGATTTTAAAGTTCAAATCAAGAAAATTCTTATTAATAACTCATTTTACACGTTTGAAGAGTTTTTAAGACATAAATTTTAACTATAAATCTTAATATGTTATGTTAGCGTTATATCTTTATGAGTGCTGGTGTACTTGTTTGTAATTTTTTATGATCATTAGCACTCCCTTTGTTTTAATTCTAATGCAATTCTCATTTGATCTACTGACGTATGTAAACATATTTTATGTATTGTGACATGAATAAAGAATTGATTGATTGATTGACTTCTCTAAGGCGTTCGACACTGTTAACCATAAAATTTTGTTGAGTAAGTTAAAGTATATTGGACTTTCTGACATTCCGCTTAATTTTTTTGGAAATTACTTAACTAATCGTAAACAAAAGGTGAAGACAGATAGAGGTGTCTCATCTTCTGTTGCCGTTTCTTCAGGTGTACCTCAGGGCTCTGTCTTAGGTGCATTACTGTATTTGATATATACTTTCGATTTACATTCATGTATTGAGCAATGTCCTATACAAACTTACGCGGATGATACGCAGCTATCTTTTCATTTTGACTCATCTGGATGAAGTGTCATATAAGATAAATTGTGATCTTGCCAACATCACTGATTTTTGTAAAAGACACATGCTGAAGATTAATCCGGATAAGAGTACTTGCATACTTTTTTATCCCAAACATTTGTATAATACAGTAAGGGACAAAATTGCATTGAGTATCAACAACGAGCTCAGTCCTATTGTGGAACAAGCAAAAAATCTTGGTGTCATGTTCGACTCTAGTTTAAGATTTCACAAACATGTGTGTCATCTATCGAAGTCCACCTACATCAAATTAAGACTGCTATATGCTGATAGATTCATTTTGAACTTTAAAACGCGTAAGAAGCTAGTTGAAAGTTTGATAATGTCCAGCCTCAACTACGCTTTAACCTTATACTATCCTTGTCTTGACTCGATGAATCGGTGTAGGATCCAAAGAATGCAAAACAACTGTTGTAGGTTTGTGTATGGTCTTCGAAAATATAGTCATGTCTGCTCTAAGATCAAGGAGTTGAAATGGCTGAAAATGGATCAACAATTTGAATATAGTCTTAAGGTATTTGTGCATAAGATATTGTGTACTAAAAAGACCATCTACCTCCATAGTAAATTGGTAACTAGAGGAATCATTAATCTCAGAGATCTGAGGCATAATAATAATCTGACAATGCCACTGCACTACACCGCATTGTTTCTAAAATGTTATACGACTCAACCGACCCTGGCTGGAGAAGCAAAAGTGTAGTAACATTCAGGAAGCTGGTTAAAAATCAGCTGTTAGATGTACCATAATTAGTTGTTATTATCTTTGTTTTTTTTGTGTTGTCATCCATTCATTACTGGTTCTTGACTGTTTCCTTTCTGGTAAACCAATATAGCGCGGATTTATCAATTGATTGTATTTTTTCCCCTTTATTATTAGCTCACATATTGGAAAGCCAGATCGATGTATTTATTTTTAGGTTACATGCATGTGAGTTTGAATTGTACATACATATTTCCTCACACAATAGGGTTGAGTGTAAGAGTATCCAACTGGCTAAACCTCGCCCTATTGTTGTGTTGCTAATAAAGACATTTATTATTATTATTATTATTATAATTTACGTAATCAAGAATTTCTTTTTTCATCCCATGTGTTAGTGGGGTTAATAATTTTGGTGTACGTGTAGACTTGGAAAGAATGCATTTTTCTTTTTTAGTTTTTCCTTTCGAAGTAGCTAACCAAATCTTTTTGTGGATAGCGTATTATTGTGAACATCTGTTGGCGACTATACCTGTATGGTTAAATGTAAGAGTAGCAGCATGCTAAACTTCGCCATATAAGTTTGACTATGTAATTTTAGATAAATACAGACGTCTATTATTATTATCATTATCATTATTTTGGCATAAGGCAGCAAAACTGTCAGTGTTCATTAATTCATCCTGTGTGGTTTTCATTGCCGACCAAGGAGAAAGGGAGACTAATTACTGATAAACCAAGGTTTCTTTATAACATATATGACACAAACGAACATATACGAGATAAAGTATTCTAGCTGAAAACGACGCAAAAGCCGCAACCGTAAGAAATTAGAATGCAATACGCTGCACCATTCGATTACCCCAATTAAGGAACTTCCAAAGGAAGATACAGCTGAGAAAACCGAACTGGCAACCGAACAAAGACCCGCATGCGACGAGCTTTGTCGTTTTGCTTCTGTTACTCGTTCCTCCTCCAGTTGTTATTTTTGTTTCTAATTGATGTGCATCGTTGTATGCTAGAAATGCAACATGCTTTCCTTCAGCCAATGGGAAACTTTTATAGCCACCCTCACACGAACAATCTTGTTTAACATATAAGAAAGTCATATTCAGCATAACAATAATAGTCATAATAATATAATACTTGTTTGTGAATGATTTAAAAATATATCAGGTAACCAAATAAGTTCGTGTGGTTGCTTTATATCGCACATTGCCATGGATGTTGTTGATCGATAGCGATTGTTTGTTACCTGTTGTCACTTTAGGCCCGTATCGTCAGTCATCCCTACAATTGTAGGGCGCGTTTATGGCCTCCTTGATTGTCATACTCCTTTCTCTCCTTCAAAAATTTCTAGATTACACTTGTCCCGTGTCAGCGTCAGCGCTCTCCTATTGTAAATATATGTTTTTTTTTAAATTATAGGAAATTTCAGGCTGATAAAACATGATATAACTCAAAAGCAAGCACAATTTGATGCAAATAGATGTTTGTGACATAACCTCAAAATAGAGCGCTGACACGGAGAAGTAACTATGACAATCAAGGAGGCCATAAAGGCGCGCTACAATTGTAGGGACGACTGACGATACGGGCCTTAGTCACATATCGCCAAAACAAAAGTTCATGCAAGCCTCGCAGTACGTGACTCACTGCTTGGTCCAACCTTAGATGCCTTTTCCTTCTGTTCGAGATGGGCGCTTTGTTGTTACTTTTGTCCATAATTGATGTTCACCATTGCGTTGCAGGAATTCACCGCATGCATCAAACTTATTACTTCGTACGATATGAAAGCTACGGTTAATTTTGCTTTCCTCGAACAATGCAACTCCTGCTGTTCCTGCTGCAACCCCCTTTAATTAAACATCTGAGGAATTTAATAGCATCATTATAGTTTCTCAAATGCAGTGTTCATGTTGTAATCCTATATTTTGCAATATATATGCTTGGACATGCGGTGCAGCAAACTATTACTAGCGTCACTAGGTAAAATAAGGTTTGTTATTAGATAATACTGAAATGCATCTTAAATACGTATTTGCATTGCATGAGTGAAATATAGTATGTCTGAAGGGTGCGTAGAATTACCGCGGTTGGACGCGTATAAGTATACCGACGTCAAAAAATTAAGACATACCCTGCCCTACAACTTATCACAGTGCCGATTTTCAAAAACCTTTTCGTTATTGGCATAGTGGTAGGCTTATGTAAAAATTTCCTTACAATCCGACCGGTACCTTTCAAATTATAGTATAGTCAAGGATTGACGAACAGACAGACAGATAGACCGACGGAAATAAGATACATGGTTTTCCATGATGTACACGTCATTCACATGGTGTCCCGAAAAAAGTGTGCAATATTCTACCAGCGGTTTCTAGAGCTTAAAATAGGTAGAAAAGTTTATATAAGCATAGGTCGACAAACGTCCCCTAAGGGCGCTACGGTCCTACAAGCCAAGGAGTTTCTCTTAGTGCCGATGTTGCTCCTGGTGTTCCTCAGGGTTCCGTGCTTGGTCCTTTACTATATTTAGTTTATACTTTTGACTTGCATACTGTATTACAGTTTTGTAGTATTCATACTTACGCAGACGATACACAATTGACCTTCACTTTTGACTCTACTAATGTGGATCAAGCTTCGTATAAAATAAATTTAGATCTGGTAAATATAACTGACTATTGCAAGGCTAACTGTTTGAAGCTCAATCCTACCAAGAGTTTTGAGGTGTTGTTCTGTCCCAAAACCAGCTATGAGCATTTTGAAAGGATGATTGATTTGAGGGTAAATAATGACCATATTCCACTCGTCACGCATGCAAAAAGTCTAGGTGCTACTTTAGACGTAAATCTTAGATTTCATCACCACGTCAGTAATATATCTAAAGCTACATATGCAAGCCTAAGACTCCTTATACTCCAATCGTTATATTCTCAATTTCAAGACTAGAAAGAAATTGGTGGAAAGTTTAGTTATATCTAAGCTGCTTTACTGTTTTATACTGTTTTATCCTTGTCTTGACTCCATAACAAAAACCAGATTGCAGAAAATTCAAAATTGTTGTTGTCGTTTTGTTTTCGGCCTTCGTAGGTACAGCCATGTTACATCCAAGATCTGTGAGCTGGGGTAGCTGAAGCTCAATAATCTTTTCAAGTTTCATATGTTGGTTTTTGTACATAAAACAGTCGTTACCAAGAGACCTATTTACCTTGCATATAAGTTAGTTCCGCGTAGGAATTTAATTTCAAGGAGGTTACGTCATGATGAACAGTTCAATATTCCTCTTCACTACACCTCATTATATCAGAGGTCTTTCACGTATAATGCCGTTCGGCTTTACAATTCAGTCAGTGCGGCTAACAAACAAGAAAGTTTACTCTCTTTTAAAAAATCAGTTAGAAAACAGCTATTAGAGATACAATCATCTCTCAATGTTTGAGTTTTTAATTTATTTTATTTTTATTTTTGGGATTTTGTTAAATGAATATTTTCAATTTGGTTGACTTCTAATGTTCATGTCGATATTTGCTTTCTGGCATGCTTGGCTAGCATGGTATAATCTCGTCATTGTTCTGTAATTGTTTATATTCTATGTATTATGTTCCTTGTATAAATTTTTGACGTTTTGTCCATATTATGGTTAAGTGGAAGAGTAGCAATCAAGCTAAACTTCGCCATAATATGAAAGGTTGCCAATAAAGAGACGGACTCAGGTTATTTTAGCCCCAAAATTTTTGTGTGATTATATTTTTGAAATTCAATTTTAGAATTTGAAAATTTAGGGTTTTCTACATAAAAAGGTACTCTTATTTAATATGGATAAATGGTGCCATTTTTGAATTAAATCAAACTAAAAAATTTGTCACATGATAGGAAATGTACTGCGAATTTAAATGAATTGTTAAATAATCAGCCATGGCAACGAAAAAACTAATTTAATAATTGGTAAATATTACATAAATACATATTTCTATTGCAACATAGCTAACATTTAGGCAAAAACAAAAGAAATAAAGTTTTAGGACAGAAATGTTGTTTCTCTGCATGTACTTCAGATAATTGAACGCTTGTTAGATAGAGATATTATTTACATAACTTGCTCATTTTATTACTAGGAGATTTTTTACTGAAAATTGCATTTTTTATCAAATAAGTTAGTAAAACAAAAGAAAATGATACATTTAAAAAGCGTAATTTTAAAACGTTTCTAGCTTTTCAACATTTTATTACTTATATTAGATGTCAATATAAATATTTTGGACGATAATCCCATCACAAATGAATACTTGAATATCCTATCAAGTAACGAATTTCTGTCCTATATAAACCTACCTACAAGGTCCATCAGTGGCACATGTATAGATCACTGCTTTATGAAAGACCTATCCAACAAAATTACTTGTATACCAATAATCCTAGAAAGCGATATTACTGACCACTTCTCCACTATTTTACTGATATCTTCAAATGAAAAACATTCTAACATCCTTACCGTTAATAACAACCAGGAAAATTACAAATTTTTTGTCGACAATTCAAAACTAATATCAAATGTCAAACAAGAATCCTGGGAACAATTATACTCTATAAATAATATAGACAAAGCAACGGGACTGTTCATAGAGAAAATAAAAAAACTAATAGATATTAGTACCAATAAAGTAATAATTAGTCACAAAGAGAAAAGCAGAAATGCCTGGATTACCAAAGGATTAATAACATCGGCAATAGAAAAAGAAAGACTATATAATATAATGAAACTAACGCCAACTACAGAGAATACCGACTGCTACAACCAATATAAAAATAAATTTGATAATAAATTTGAGCTTGTAAGGCAAACCAAACGAAAACATTACCTAAATAAATTGAATAATAACTTAAATGATCCTAAGCGGCTTTGGACAACTATTGATGAGATTACTGGAAAAACAAAATTTAAAGAGTGTGTCACTGAGTTAAATACAACATCGGGAACAGTATTAAAAAATACTCAACAGATATGAGATGAATTTGTACAATTCTTTACTGACATAGGCGAAAATTTAGCAAGTAATATACAAGCAAATGTACAAAATACTCAGCCTCCAAAAAGAACTTTGAACTCATTTATTTTGGATAAAGTCGAGCAATGTGAAGTATACACCACTGTTATGTCCTTAAAAAATCGGAAAAGTCCTGGGTTCGATGGTATTAAAAGCGAGCATTTGAAAATTATAGCCGAGGACATAACAGAACCACTCACTTACCTAATCAACAAATGCTTTGAATCTGGCATATATCCCTCAATTTTAAAAAAAGGTAATATAATACCGATACATAAATCAGGAACAAAAACAGATGTTAACAACTATAGACCAATATCAATAATATCCAGTGTAGCAAAGGTTTTTGAAAAAGTTTTATCTACTAGAATGATTCGATACCTCACAAAATTCAAAATTTTAAGTGAAAATCAATATGGATTTACAGAAGGGAAGGCTACATCGGACGCAATAACTAAAATTGTAAATCAAATACATCAAAATATTGATAACAGAATCCCTTCAATCTGCATTTTTGTTGATTTAAAGAAAGCTTTCGGCACAGTTAATCACAAATTATTATTAGTAGCATTGGAGAGAATTGGTTTCAGAGGAAACGCATACTCACTGATCGAAAGTTATTTGTCAAATCGCCCACAATCTGTGCAGATATCAGGATCATTTAGTAAAGAAATGTATATTGAGTGTGGTGTCCCACAAGGAACTGTCTTAGGTCCGCTGTTATTCAATATATATTTAAATGATATTTTCCAAATTAATTGTGTTGGCAAAATAACTAGTTTTGCAGATGATACTGCAATATTATATGAAGGCACTGACTGGTCTGATCTGAAAAATGTAATTGAAAATGATTTTATCAAAATTATTCGGTGGTTTAACAGTAGAAGATTAAGCATTAACTACTCTAAAACACATTTTTTACCATTTGGATCTTATGCTAGACATCTGCCAAATTACACAAATTTCTCCTTCAATATTAATGATCAAAAAATACAAATTAATAGAGTGCCCAACATAAAATACCTTGGAGTGGTCTTGGATCCTCACTTACGATGGGACATCCATGTCAATTATATTTTAAAGAAAGTTAGATTTGTATCCTACAAAATTAAATACCTTGGGAATATATTGACAGAAAAATATCTTCGAACATTATACCATGCACTGATTGAGCCTCATCTCACATATGGTATATTAGCATGGGAAGCTGCATGTTCTTCACATATCTATAATTTAGATGTTTTTCAAAAAAGTATTCTAAAAATGATATTTAAAAAACCGAAACTTTATCCCACTGAAAAATTATATGCAGATGTTCGAATGTATAATATAAGACAGCTTTATTTCTTACACAGTATCACTCACTACCATAAATTTGTAAACACCGACCAAAGAATTAAACATAATCATTATACCAGGTACAACATTCGTGGCACAGTAGTTCCTCAACCGCATAAATCTATAATGCAGCGATCATATCTCTATTTAGCGCCTAAATTTTTATGAAATTATACCTAAAGACTTAAAAGATTTACGTTTCGGAAATTGTTTCAAAAGAAATTTAAAAAAGTGGCTACATTCTATATCTAGGACTGAAATTCATAAACTCATAAATACGAACATCAACTAAATACATAATCTACTGTAACTATTTTTTGTCCTTTTTTGTCATTTGCATTCTACAGTTTCAACTTTATTTATTGGTCCATGTACAGGCGATGCCTTCTATTGGGCCTGTTTTGATTTTATATTTATTTACTCATATTGTTTGTTATATTTGTACATTGAGTGATTAAATATTATTATTATTATTATTATTATTATTATTATAAACTATTGGAATGTCTGCTATGCGACGATAACAAAAAACTCAAAATCAAGCATGCGGTTTTTTGTATTTCAATTTTAATCGTCTGAAATCGGGATAAAAAATAAAAAACTAAAAATTCAAATAACCCAAAAACGGTTAACTTTTGGATAAGACATGATAGGACAAAATCGGTTGCTTTTGACCTAATCTATCACCCCTTAACAGGAATACGTGACATTACAAGTCACCCTATATATGTATAGGTATGTGTATGTCAGCCAGCTATCAAGTCCGTTTGTTTTGAAGCGTCTTTAGCTGCTTGTCAAAGTTTGATTAAGTAATGTTTCTATCCATTATTTGGGTAGGTTAGGTAGAGTAGCCAAGAGCTAGACTTCGCCTACGTAGAGGTCACATTATATTGTCGTTTTTATAATGTGCCTAGAAAAGACATTTTATTATTATAATTATTGTTAAATGTTTCTATTTTGCGCCAAAATAATCACCTTTAAATGGGCCGTGCTATCCTGGGTTAAATGCAACGAGCAAACGGCACACGTAGATAAAATATACAATATTAAAGCTTCAAGTAGGATAATGCGTGCATATCCGTTTTATTAAGCACCTTGATAGCAGCAGCTAGAAAGTACGAAACGAATCTAACAAAAACAGCAAGACAGCGGAGTTGCTAACTCCGTTAGAATGAGAGCAAAAAGGAAACCTGCAGGCGCGGCGTTTAATATTTCGCTCTTGGAAGTGATTAAACTTATTTAGCTGAAACAGAATGCAAATACGTGCATCCGTGCTTTACTAGCAGCAAAATTGTCAGGCTGGATAACTAGATCTGTTGTTGTTTCAGTGCGCCGTGTGCAATGTTGGATAACTTGGAGTTTATGATATTAAAAATTAAGTGGATGGTATCAGGATAGTCCACGCCTGAAGAAGGCCCTCGATATGTAGCAGTGTAGTCTGAAAGTGAGAAATTAACGACCTGCAAACGTCTATTATACAGGGTGTCCAGAAAGTTGAGACTTGCCTCGATACAACTGATGGGTGTTTTATTTCGAGATATAGAACTTTAAGTTGGCATTACTTTTGACGATGGCGACCGACTTGACAGCTGCCAAGTGACTTATTACGGTGCGTACAGAAGAAGCTATTGCCACTGTATAGCGTAGCATTGAAGAAGACCTGAATGAGTCCATCCGCCATCGTGCATAGGAATTGGATCTGTGTCCATCCACTTTACGGAAGATTTTGCAGAAGGATCTTGGTTTGCGTGCTTACAAAATCCAACTCGTGCAAGAATTGAAGCCAAACGATCATCAAGCAAGGCGTAGATGCGTTGAATGGGCCCAAAACGAGATTGCCGTTGTTCCCGATTTTCATAAGCGAATTTTGTTTAGCGATGAAACGCACTTCTGGTTGAATGGCTACATCAACAAACAGAACTGCCGCATTTGGAATGAAGCTAATCCTCAAGTCTAGGTCGAAACACCGTTACATCCAGAAAACTGGCTGTTTGGTGCGCTTTATGGGCTGGTAGAATCATTGGTCCGTACTTCTTCAAAAACGATGATGGCTAGCTGCATTATAGTCAGTAGTGATCGGTATAGAGCCATGATTACTAACTTTTTCATTAATAAATTCAACAATCATGATGTCCAGGAGCTGTGGTCCAAGACGACGGCGCAGCATGTCACACAGCTCGTGCTACAATTGATTTATTGAAAGACACGTTTGGTGACCACCTAATTTCACGTTTTGGACCTGTGAATTGGCCTTCAAGATCTTGTGATTTAACACCGCTTGACTATTTTCTTTGGGGCTATGTAAAGTCATTGGCCACAAATGCTTGACCATTTGGAAGACAACATTCGCCATGTTATTGCCGATATACGGCCACAAACGCTGGAAAAAGTCATTGAAAATTGGACGTCCAGATTGGACTACATCCGAGTCAGTCGTGGCAATCGTATGCCAGAAATCATATTTAAAATGTAATGCCACAAGATTATCTTTCGAATAAAAAAAAATCATGTCAACCGAATAATCCATCATTGCTTTATTGCAATTTAAAGTTCTATACCTCTAAAAAAACACAGTGGCATAACATGATAGGTAGGGTGTCCCAAAAAGAATAGTTCTTTTTTCAAACAAATACCTTCTAACTTTGCTTGAATAATGTTAAAACAATTTTAAATGAAGTTTCATTTGCCTGGAACCCGTGCCATGTTGCGTTGGAATATTCAAAACATATAAATTAGGCATGCGCTAGTGAAATCATGATCCAATAGATCGTTCATATAAATTGCAAAAACTATTCGCATTCCACCACCATCTCATTTATATTTTCAAGATAAGAAAAAATATGGCAAACCCTTTCAGGGATAACACAGCTGTTAACCACCATACTAATATTCCAATAAGTACAATGGTTAGATGTCACAATTGTTCCTGGTCTTAAAGAAACCCATATTCCTATAGTAGACCATGCGAAGAATTTAGGGATCATCATGTATTCAGATTTGAGTTTTAAGCAACATGTTACGCATTTATCACGCTTAACATATATGCGTTTGAAGATATTATACACCAATCGCCATATTCTGAATTTCAAGAGTCGCAAAAGACTGGCTGAGACTCTGGTGCTATCGTTAATAAATTATTCAATTGCTGTTTAGTCTCCTTGTCTTGATTACGTGACTAGATATCGAGTACAAAAAATTCAAAATAGCTGCTGTAGGTTCGTTTGTGGTCTGCGAAAGTTTAGCCATGTGTCTAAGAAGATCAATGAGCTTAGATGGTTGAGGGTTGACCAGCTTTCACATATAATTTACTAATTTTAGTACAATGAATCAAAATCAATAGGCTACCTACTTTTCTACTAAAACGGCTAGTACCACGTGGGAATCTCTATTACAGGAATCTCAGACATAACTCAATATACCTAGTTATAGGAGCAAAATTTTCCATCGTAGCTTCACCTACAACCCTGTCAAGATGTATAATAGTCTTAATGACAATTACAAAAAGAAGGGGATACTTGCATTGAATAGAGCTATTAAGAACCATCTTCTGGGGTCTGCTAGCCAAGCTAGCTCATATATTTCTTTATTCTTTATTCTTTTTTATTTAGTTTTTGTTTTTATTGTTTTTTTTTTTGTTAGAGCGGGCCATGTAGTATAGATGTTTAACATCTTAAGATTACTCTATTTAAGCCTTAATTATTGTATATATTAGTTAGTCGATTGCTATTCATTGTTATATATTTTTTTTTGTATGTGTTCCTGCGCTGTGAGGTTAAGTGGTAGAGTAGCCAGCTGGCTAAACTTTGCCTCGCAGTGTGGATGGATTAATAAAGACATTATTATTATTACTCAAAATATTCGTATACTAAGTATTACTGAGCCGAACGAAACAAAATCTTTTTATTTAGAATATTATGCGAAAACTTAAATCTTCATCAAAATATAGTCCAAGACATTTCATACTGTCAATGAACGGCAGATCTACTCCGTCTAATTCGATATGAATGCCACTTTTTAAAAAGTCTCTTTTAATATAATATTGATGTAACCAACATAGGAAGTGACGTGGAATTTGGAACCTAAAGAATAAGGAATACTGAATTTCTCCCTGAAGCCTATTGCAAAATTTCTTTTTGAACCGACCCAATAGTTAATTTTCCTCACTACATACTGTACCGTCCTCAGGGAAGCATATAAATCTGTACGAATATTACAAATAAAGGCATTAATTATTATTATTATAGTTACGCAATCATGTGCGGAGTTTGCATCCTGGACCATTTATGACGTAATCGCGGGTATTCGATACCCGCCTGGAAACATCTGTTGTTGTCTAGACTACTTCCATGGTCGTTCACGGCTTGGTCTGGAAAACGCTGGAGCATTTCCCGACGCGTCGATAGGGGATAAATACCCAACCAGACCGCGGAAGCAGTTAGTCGCAGTCGACAGCGAGCGAAACGCCATAGACCAGTCAATATGTTAATAAATATGTCATAAAGTAGTTGCAAATGTTTACAAATCAGTGCATAGTAATAAATTGGACCTTGAACAGTGAAGCGATGTTTTCATAACAATACTTATAACGCAACCTTGTGAACCTACATTACTACAGCAGCAACAAGATAAATAAAACTAATTATTTTACAATTAATTCCATAGTCTTGCAAGGACATGGTACCGTGCAATAAACTACCCTTAAGAATCTGAGAGTATTCCCTCGGTGAACGTAATTTGTTGGCCAGGAGCGACCTCCGCCTTCTAGGTTAAAATATATGGGCAATAATGACGGCATTTTTTCTTACAGTGCCACCGGACATTTTGGACTACCCGACCAGCGCGGACATGGTGGTTGACGAGGGGTCCAACGTGAGTCTCAAGTGCATCGCTAAGGGATCCCCAGAGCCGTCTATAATTTGGAAAAGGGAAGACGGAGAGCTCATACGCTTTTCTAACGGAACAGAAGGTAAGGCACGTTAATCTACCTGGAAAATAAAAAGGACGAAACAGCCTAAGAGAGAGTTAGCTAGTACGAAATCAATGAAATGATGCGAATATGCAAATTTAATGTTACCGATTTTGAGGCAATCAGAAGTTAAGAATCTGTGAATCCAAGTTTTAAGTCCTGATGCATTTTTCAGCGTTTTGCAGGTTTTCGAAGTGTAATAAACAGGGTGTTACTTCATGATAGGCCTTAATTACGAGGGCGTGTTCCTGGCTCAAGTTTAAATAGAAAATTCATATGAATATGTATACCAAAAGGTTTTCGAGATACAAAATTTCCAACTCTACAAAATTCACATACGATTCTTTATATTTATCGCAAAGCAGCCAACGAAGAAACAAAAAATTTAAGGCGTAATAATATACTAAGTGACATATAAATCCGAACACCCAGTTTAAATGGTTTTATTTTAATAAAAGTTGGTGAATGTATTTATCTTACTGTAAATAACAAGTGAAAAAATTTTCAGCCTTATCAGTTGGACATTCCGGTTTTTATACTGCTTTTTTTTTATTCACTAACGCTCTAAAAATGAATATTTCAGCCGCAGTAAAGAATCAACGTTGGCGGATTTTGGTTCTTGACATCCTTTACGATCGGTTACGATGCCTAGAGTACGGAGACCTGTACGATTTCGTCAACTTAGTGAGTTATATAGGGGCCGTATAGTGGGACTTCGGGAAGCTGGACTTCCTTTTCGGGCAATTGCAGTTAGAGTGCAAAGAAGTGTAGACACTGTGGTTAGGTGTTGTCAGGCATGGCTTCAAGAAGGCCGTACGCAAAGAGCAAGGGGCACTGAACGCCGCCGTAGAACAACAGACCGTGAATGTCGCCGCCTAAGATTATTGGCCTTAAGGGACCGTTTCTCCACTACCAGGTCCATTACAAATGAATGGTTTGCAGAATACGGAAGACCTATTGGCATGCGAAGTGTTTACCGACGAATGAGAAGTTTTGGCTGGTTTTCATACCGGCCACACTGGGTCCCCCCTTTAACTCGAGAACACCGACGTAATCGCCTTGGGTGGCGCAGACAACGGTCACCCTGGGATCAGGAATGGAACAGTATTGTCTTTAGTGACGAGTCTCGATTTTGTTTAGGCATGCACGATGGTCGTGCCAGGGTTAGAAGGCGACGTGATGAAAGGAGTAATCCACAGTTTTTTGTTGAAAGACATGTTCATCACACTGTTGGAGTTATGGTTTGGGGTGCTATAGCTTATGGTTCCAGGTCACCTTTAATCTTCATCAGAGGTAACATGAACGCGCAGCGTTATATCCACGAAGTTCTAGAACCCCATCTTTTACCCTATCTTGACACCCTGGCAGATCCAACTTTCCAACAAGATAATGCCCGACCACATGTTGCAAGAGTCACAATAGACTTCTTTCAACATAATGATGTCACATTGTTACCATGGCCACCAAGATCTCCCGACTTATCCCCAATTGAGCACGTGTGGGATATGATGGGTAGGAGATTGCTCAATTTGCAACGTCCTCCTCAGACTGTAGAAGCACTTCGAGAGGAGTTGGTGGTTGCCTGGCATGAGATACCACAGGAGGACATTGACCACCTGATCGGAAGCATGCCTAGGCGCGTTGGAGAATGCGTAGCACATCAGGGTGCATCCACACATTATTAAAGGTCAAAGGGCTTTAAAGCAGTGCAATCATTTTGAAATTTTTATCATTTACTTATTATGCTTCATTAAGTACTTATACAAAATTTTATTAAAATAAAACCATTTAAACTGGGTGTTCGGATTTATATATCACTTAGTATATTTGCCAAATAGCTAAAGGTGATTCCGATAAATATTCCTATTGTAAGTACAAGAACAAACATGTTATGTTTTATGGAAATTTGTATTCTTACGAATGCTTATCAAGACTTTAATCATCTATATCACAAAAAAGACGCTAAGTTAGCACTAACAAGAAAATAGTTATGGATTCCAGTAGCGTCTCAAATCAAATCAACTTTGATCCGTAGCCAAGGAATGTTATTTTGTTGTTATTGACTCAGTTTTCACTTTATGTGGCAGCTCGCCATCATGATTACTCTTTAAGACTTTGACACCCTATATTTTAAAATTCAGACCCCTTAGACCTGAGACCATATGTTTATGACCTTTTCTCCTTGGTTAAAATCGGACATGTATTTGTATTGCGCTTCAGAAATTGAAATCGATATATTTCCCAAGTCAGATATTGTAAGAATACTCATTTATTCTATGAACCTACGAGCTCCTTCCCACTTCAGTTGGCCCACTTCAAGATTTGTACCAAAATATGCCTTTATAAACTAAACATGACGAAACTATTTACTTCTAAAACAATTTACTTTCTCAAAAACATTTTAGATACACTCTAGTCGTAAAAAATACATATTTGAAATCACTTAGACCTTATAACTAATAGAACATCTGAACAAATAAACAATGTGCGAATAAATGCGCGAAGTTAACAAAGCAACAATTGAAAGATTACCATTGGGTAACATCACCTTTATTTTTTATTACGGCTGAAATTCTTTGGGGCATAGTGTTAACCAAGTTTTGGCAAAAATTTGGTGTAAAACAATCCCATATTTCTTGAAGCTTTTGTCTCAGTTCGGTGTATGTACGAGCAGGATGTTATCGTAGAACCTTTTTCATCTCGTGCCACAAAGTTTCAATAGGTGGCAGATCTGGACTGCTAGAAACCCATTTCAAAAGTGGTACATTATTTTCTTCCATCCATTTTATAGCCTTTTTTGAGGTATGGCACGCTGCACCGTCTTGCTGAAACACAAAATCTTGGCCGGATGTCAAACATTCTTCCATCACTGGTAAAAGCGATTCTTCTAAAATTGCCAAATATTTGTTTGTATCCACATTTCCATCAATAAAATGATGTTTTCCTACTCCTTTTGATGAAAATTTCACTTTTCTCTTCAGACAGTCAACATGGAATGCTTAATTTTTTTGCGAATAACTCTACTGCGACTGTCACCAACACAAACTTCGAATCGGGCCTCATCACTCCACTGTATTGCACACCATTGTTGAGGTGTCCATTGTCTATGTCTGAGCCAATTTTTCTTTTGCAGTGTGGTTAATAGCGGCTTTTCTTTGGCCTATAAACAAGTTGTACAACTTTAGGCTTTTTACTTCACTTTTTTTACAAGAAAACTTACCTTGCAGGTGCTAAATCCTAGTTTTTTGGGCCTCTCTATGAGTTGTGGACCTCGAAATTCTCCTTCCAACAGCGTAACTTCACAGAGCACTTAATTGTAAATAATTGGCACGCCTGTTTTTCACGATTATTCTTCTTAATGCTCTTCGGTCAGCATTTGTGATATTACTTTTTTTCACATATCGTGGCTTGATATTAACTGAACCAGTTACGTTATATCTTCTAACAATATTTCTCACACTGTACCGCGATAAGTCTAACAAAATTTCTGAGTTTTTATTTCCCAAAATTAAAAAATTTAGTTATCAGTATCCACAGGCTTTAGCAGCTCTTACTCAGGAAGTTGATGGCATGGCTACACAGTCAAAAGATATCACATTTCATGATAAATACGAATGGATCACAGTACAGATCATATTCGTCGATGTACGTTATCATAACATTGATACTAAAGTGTATGTAAAATTTCTAACTACCACATACGCTTATTTTATATTTAAGTAAAGCTGCATAATCATCTTTTAAAGCGGCCGTATAAACGCACTTCACAACCTCTCCTATTGATATGCTTATTAGATACCCCAGTGTGGGGGAAATTACTTTTTTAAGTGTTCCATTGCGCTGCTACGATGTATCCTGCTTTTGAAGTGCCCGCTTAATTGGTTCTTCAGGCCGTGGTCTGCGGAATGTATTTCCGTACCAGAAAATTATCCTATGCACCACTATGCAGTGTTCGTACAGACTCAGATCTTAGGTAAAGTGGCTGTAGTAAATTTCGATATGCTTGTTATACTTTTTGTACACCTATCCCTGAAGATTTCAAATTAAAATGGTTTTTACTGCCCTCGCCAATTGGCGAGGAAGATATATACCTGTCTGTCAATCTGTTTCAAGGGCAAATGTGCAGGAAGTCTATGATTGTGTCAACTATGGCTAACAGGTGCAGTGAGGTGAGGTTTGTGAACATGTCAATATACTGTCTGAGAATTGAGACACTCTTCCCCATCCCTACCTTCAATATTTGACATTTAAATTTTTTTAAAATGATCAGGAGCCTCAACAAGGCCAAAAAAGGAAAGGAGGGAGCACAAACCCAGGTGAACCTTGCTGAAACTTTGGGAAGAAGCTCTCCTTAGCAATCCTATAAAGTGTTTCCATGATATACAGGGCGTCCCAAACAAGCAAGACTGGAGTTAGATAAAAATTTATCAGAAAAAAGTTATGGTACATGGAATCCGGTGGCACATGTCTATTTGTCCCAATTTTTCCCAGTGTGCCCCGGTACCCACACTAACTTTACCGGATGCCTTGCTGCTAGACAATCCAGACCCTCTTTGCATTGCAATACAAGGTTAATATATTCGAGGTCATGTCAAGGTCAAGTCACTTCTTTACGATGAGACACTCTATTTTTTATTACGGAAATAAAATGGTCATATAAGGATATCGGCACCTTATACTTCCTATTTAGAGCTTGAGCTGGAATAGCCGGGACTTCTCTTGGAATATTCATTTGAGCTGAATTAGGAAGCCCAGTCCCACTTATTGGAAATGACCAAATTCATAACCAAAGCAGGCAAGCCATTACACCACCGCACATTAATTATGAATGATAGTGCTGACACTGTCGAATGAGTTGAAGTTATTAGATACTTAGGAATCACTATTGACAGTAATTTAAAATGGCAGAGTCATGCCGAGCTTTTGGCATCGAAATTGAGGAGAATTATTCATAAGTTTTTCATTCTTAGGAATATTTCAAGCAGAAAGAGTCTTCTCTCAATATATAACTCGTTTGTGGGGTCTCTACAAACTTACGGGATAAGTATTTGGGGAGCCGCTTACACTAGTACTTTAAAAATACTACAAACCACGCAAAATTATATTGTCAGGACTATTTTTCGTATCCCATGTAGGTCAAGCTGCAGATTTGTTTACATTGAAAATGATCTTTTGAATGTTTATATATTTTTGCTGCTCTAAAATTTGTTCACTCCCGAAACAATGTTCCAACCAGCCACGCTTATGAAACAAGAACTAAAATAAATATAAGTTACACCTATACCAGAGTGAATAAAGCCAAAGATGCATAAAGTTTGATGGTATTAGGTTGCATAATAAATTACCCCTAGAATATAAAATCCTCTCGAAGTATAGTTTCAAAAAAAGAATTAAGAAGTTCATCTTAAATAACTTTGACATGCTTGCATCGACGGTAGCTTGACTCAACTCAGTAATTTCGTTTCTATCTAATGTTTTTTTATTTCTTTTTTTTTATATACATTTTGCTTGTAATGACCATTAGCCATGCATTGAATTTGTATATTGTATGACACACACAAGCTTATAGCTTAGGTGTCTATTCTTTTGTAGTAAATTATAGTACTCTTGTTTCTCTGCTTAACCTTTACGCAAAATTTTTATTGTTTAAACAACATAGTTTGACCTTACTCGAAATATCCCTATATTATCATATTTCAGATATTCATATTTTATGTACTCTGTATTTTTTATACTTCTGAGTGTTTTTAGTATGCTTCTGTACTATTTTTATTGAATTTTAGATTTGTTTATGCAGACACGTAATTTAAGATTTGTGACAAGATTCAGACATTTACCCTTTACGAAAGTATACAGAATTTTCACAATTCCTACACCGTTACTTGCTCGTTCTAGATCTGATGCTAGTATCTTTGCTCAGATTTCTGTTGCAATCTTGGTTATTCAGGGTAGCAAGAGTATACAAGGTCATGTATTTTTGAAGCTTTTTTTTATTTAAATTGTACTAAAGGTTGTTTTTAATTTGTATGTTATATTGGTTATTGGTTGGTTTTATATTGTTACTGCCCATGCATTTGCCATAATTTTTTTATAGTAATAGCTATTATAATTGATTAGTAATTTTAATATTAGGAGCACCTGATATAGTAATAATAAATCTTGACCATCAGGATGCTCTAGACAGCTCATTCGCAAAGTTTGAGCAGGATTCACCGGTGACTGATTCCCGTATGGTTGTTTTTTCATTTTTTGCTTGAAACTCACCTGCCACTGAACCGATTTTCAAAAACAACAAAGCACTTTCGTTGTTGCCATAATAGTAACCTTGCGTGAAAATTTCACCAAAATCCGGGCGGTACTTTCCAAGTTATCAATTAAAAAAAATTTCGTTTGCAATACTTCCTAGATTGTGACACGGGAAGTAAAGCTATGTTAAAGACCTAGTTAATTTCTAACAAGGCCTTAGGCTTGCTAAACATTTTTTCCTGCTTTGGTGTAAGTCATTTTTCCGATTTTATGTCGCTCTTCATTTCTTTTCTACACATATGAATAATTTTCCCACTTTCTGTTGTACTAATAACATCCTCCAGCATGTAACAACACCAAATGCCACAAACATCTCGCTCGGAAGCGGAAACTTTGTCGACAATTCTGCGGCGAATGGGAGACAAAACGGTGCTATTAAAGTTAATTTTATTTCAGCAAGAGGATTAGCTCCTCTGTCCTTGGCTATAACGAAATCGGTGTTGCTTTAATGACATTTTCGTGTCTGTTCCGCGGGGGACAATTTCAGGAATTGAACAACGATGAACAACATATGTACCTAGTGGGCAACGGCCCACATTCATTCCCACTCTTGTTTGCTATTTACTACCGCTATATGATTATTTGGAAAAAAGTCCTATTTCCTGTTTATCGGTAAAGAGTGGTCACTTCGGGGTATATGGGTTCGTAAGGACAGGTTCGAAGGATTCAGGAGGTGTTATTTACGTTAATAAAAGTGATAATTATCGAGACTGATAAAAGTATGTTTGACCAAATTTTTCACTACACGTTTCCCACTTTGCGTTCACGAAAAGGCACACGTTAGTTTTTAAACGACTGAGGCAGCTAGTGCACTCCGAAATGCCAATTTAATTTTTTCATGGTACTTTTGGGCACAATTCACACGTGAGTCCAGTCCCAATTTCCGATATTATAAACCGAAAAAAAATACGAGAATAACCAAAGTTATTGTAAATACTGTTATAAACAGTTAACGGTAATATTTGACAGTAAATTGATGTTCTCTGACCATATAAATGAAATGCTCTCTTCAACAGATAAAATATTGGGAGCCTGTGTGAGAAACTGCTTGGGTTTTGCTGATGTGAACAGCTTTATTAATATGGTGCACTGGTTTGGTGGCAATTTCACTGTCCACCATAAGAGCCTGAAATGCATCTATTTCAAAGTCTATGGCTTATATCCTGGAAGAGGATTCCTACACAACATTCTACTACAATTCATGAATTTTGATTCGTTGGTGTATTGTGTCACACAGGCGACACTCTGTGAATCAGGTTCTATCAATGCCAACTTGAGTTCTATACGTTTGGTGAGATTCCTGTTGCTGTGACATGTGTCTGTCAGGCTAATAACGCGTAACAACCCCTAGGAAAAAATCATCCGGACGCTAATTAACATAAGCGGGGTAGAGCAGTTGGAGACACGAAGATCAAAGGAACCGACAGCAGGTGTCGCATCTGTATAATCTGTGGTACCATCATCAATTAAATGACATTACAGTACGACATTGTCTGGTTAATAATGAACTTGATTGCCCGGAGTTATTATCTAAAATCTATTTTGTGGTGCCAAATAGACCAACAGCGCTAGGGGTAGAACCAACATATCGGAAATGCCTACTGTTAAAAGAATGTGAATGTGTTTGACACTTATTGTCAATGATGCGATATCAACGATACTATTCACATGCGGTGCTTAACCAGTAACGTTTATTTTTGCAAATTGAGCCGTAATTCTTAGATATATATTTCTTTGTGTCAATTCTACTAACATTCATATGCATGTTTATGTATTTATTTCCTGTAATAATGTTTATAATTCAGGTTTTAAATGCATTTTGTAAAATAGACTTTCATACACAAAAGCATAGAACTGGATGGTTATTATTGGATGTTCCTGTGATTGGGTGCAAAACCTGTTGAAATAAAGAGAATTATTATTTTAACATTTTATCTCCAATAACTTGAATTCCGTTAACGCTAAGACGCTTAGGCTGAGGCCACATCAAAGGCGTAGCGGTAGAATGTAAGCCGCATGCTAGGATGTCAATATATCCCTCGTACATCGACCCTTAGGCCCGTATCGTCAGTCGTCCCTACAATTGTAGGGCGCCTTTATGGCCTCCTTGATTGTCATAGTTTTCTACTTCTCCGTGTCAGCGCTCTATTTTGAGGTTATGTCACAAACATCTATTTGCATCAAATTGTGCTTGCTTTTGAGTTATATCATATTGTATCAGCCTGAAATTTCCTACAATTTAAAAAGAAAACATATCTTCACAATAGGAGAGCGGTGACGCTGACACGGAACAAGTGTAATCTAGAAATTTTTGAAGGAGAGAAAGCAGTATGACAATCAAGGAGGCTATAAACGCGCTCTACAATTGTAGGGACGACTGACGATACGGGCATAACATACGTCCACAACATGCTCTAGGGTCTACTTTCCTTAGCATTATCTGGATACATGAGATGCAAGACTGTTCCGTGCTTATGAAATTTGGTTCGATAGAAAGCGTTGACGGATAGGAGTTCTGAAACGTTCCTTCTGCAACTTAAGGATATGGCATCTGAGGTTATTCGAAGACAGACGGAATAAGTCCGACCAAACAAATTATACAGTGATTATGAGATCACGCCGCTGTCTTCTGGCACTTTAAAGAGTTCAAAACGGTCTTCATGAGTTGGTCTACTTGTTCTTTATGGCATAGCTAACAAGCTCCTATGAAGAACGAGGTTTGAATCCCATTCGGGACCAACAAACTCCAACAGGGGTCGTATGAAGAATCTGTATAGAAATGAGCACGTACAAATAGTGCAACCGCTGAAGGATCCTTCTATGATATACAGCAGCCGCATGGACTTTGAAATGATGTTCTGGACGTGTTCCGACCAAACCAATGGTCATTAATTATCAGACCAAGATCTGTGTGGCTTGTAACAGACTGGATGGTATGATCGACAATCTTGTACTAAAACTTACAATTATTCTTGCCTAGGTGGGTATGGTAGCATTTCGAGAGATTCAGAAGTGGAAGCCAAAGTTCCAACCACTTTCCAAAACGTTTGAGGTTTTTTTGAAGTACAGTGCCATGTGCAAACGTGGACAAATTGAAGAAAGTTACATGGGCAGGTAGCTGGTATATAAAAGAAGTAGTGCTGGTCCTAACACAGATCCTTGCGGTACTCCACTAGTAACAGGATGGTTAGAGAGGAGTAGCTCTTTCCCTACAAGGACGGAGAATGTTTTTCCTGACAACAAGGCGTCATTCCACAAAAGCAAATTACCCCTGATTCCAAAATGTTCGAGCTTATGTGGGAGACTTTTACGTGGAACCGGACCGAAGGTTCTGGAGAAGTTCAGGTTCATTTGATTCTAAGGAACTGGTCCAATTGTCAAAGCAGCGCAATATATCGGTGAGTATGGATGTTCCAGAAATTAAACCATGTTCGTGGCTTGGCAGCAAATTGTTCTTGAATGCAAATGATATCGGTTCTTTTTGCATGATCTTTTCGGCTATTTTTTCATCTACTATATGCACGAGACTGATAGATTGTAGGTTTTTGCATATGTTTTACTTCCTTTCTTCTATATAGATGTGACAGATGCATTACGCCAACAGGAAGGAGAGCTACGACTTTTAAACGAGGAATTGAATATAATCGACAAGGGTATTATTATTATTATTATTATTATTATGATAATTGAGATGAGCAGAGTACACAGTACTATAAGCTCATGCAGTAAATATAGTGTACGGACACGTAACACAAATACATCAAATAGAAAAAAATAGGAAAAGACAGTTCATAGCTATAGAGTTTGTACACTCCTCCAGCTATCATACTGCACTTTGAAGCTATTAACTGAAGTAGCACCAACCACACTTTCAGGTAAACTATGCCAGGTGTTGAATATGCGGTTGGGAAGAAACCACTGTCGGACTGTTGTTTTAAATGGCTCCTTATGCAGTTTGAAGCTGTGTCCGCGTAGATTGCTGCGCGACAGACGGTATAGATGCATGAGGTTAGTGCCCATCAAACCATGAAGTATCCTGAACGTAACTATAAGATCGCCACGAAGTCTTCGCTCAGAGAATGAGGTCAGGTTGAATAATTCAAGGCGATCTTCATAGCTTGGTCTTCGTGCTCCAAAAGGGATACGAGTAGCCCGACGCTGTGCTGATTCGACGAAATTTCTATCGCGCAGAAGCACAGTGTCCCATACCGGGCCAGCGAATTCAAGAATTGGCCTCACGAATGCCTTGTAAATGTAGGCGCAAGTGTTGACATCGGATCCTTTGAAAGACCTCTCCAGCATGTATAGAAGTTTCTTGGCTTTTGATCTAACGTGGTGAATATGCTCTGACCAGGAAAGACGATCGTTGACTACAACGCCCAGATCAGTGTGGCTGGAAACTGCTTCGATGTTGTAGTCAGAGATCTTGTATGTAAATCGCGGATTTGTCTTCCCGAGGTGACAGTATTGCAGAACAGTAGAAGTGATTCCATCTTTTCCAGGAGATGAAGACGTTCTTAATTCCATAAGGTGTCTCTTAATGTCCCGAGTTCGAAAATATACGCTGCAGATGGTCTCCGGGCATCTGTGAAGGCTGGATAAGGGTGGAAAAGTGCGCCCTAGTTCATTATCGAAGTCTTCGCTATAGGCATCAGCAAGGAGAATGGCAGATTATATGGTATTAGAACATGGGCAGCCCTTTGCGTGATGGAATTGTGTGAACGAAACCTTGGAGTTGAGTTTGGATCTCAAATACCTGAACATCCTCTTCTTATTTTTGGAGGATACAAAATTCAACTCGAAATTCCGTTTGGCGTTTTTCAAGTCCATGAAACGTCATTAGGTCATACCGAAAAATGCATTGTACGCTAAGGTTTTACCAGCTTTCTATAAAATTACGAAGATCCTTGATTTCCATTGTGCCTACGACGTATCTTTCTCATCCCAGCAATATACGCACTTAGCATACCCTCCCGTTCTCGCTCTCAATTTTCTACGTTTTCCATCTCTTTACTTCGAAGTCGCAACTCCTGCAATCCTATTGCACGCCATAAATCACCGAGCAGACGGATGACGTCATAAAGCAGTGACACTAGCCCACGGCATTCGCATTAGGCATCACGTCCGACGGCGAAGCGTCACGGGATGCGATGCCGGCATTGTGGGATTCGGGTGAGAGCCAATCTGTAGACGTATGCATTCCAGGCGTCGCGCGGCGACGTCTCCGGAGCGTCGCTCTGCACTTATAGCCCAGTCAAAGAGATACGAGCGTTGATCCAAAATTAGGGCTCCCAAAGTCCTCTAACCACACTGGAAGGTACGAGGCAAAATCCGGGTACGCCACTGAACGCTACTGTTACCACGGCTGCTCTACGCTGCGCAGCTCATACTTGGCTCAGCAGCCGTCGAATATGGAAGTTCCCAATTTTGGTCCCGCCAAGTGCGAGATTCGTTTCATAATTCGCTTTCTGCGCGGCGCAAGGACTCCATCCCGTGGATATTCGTCGTCAGATGACAGGCAACAAGTGTTTGAAACGTCCAAAAGTAGTACAAGGAAGATCGGAAGGAAGTCCACATAGAAGAACGAATTTGAAAACTGCCAGTCCGAGACCTCCCGGGAATCTGATCAACAAGTCCACGGACAATAATCTTCCTATTTGGAAGCACCTTGCGTTGGATTATCTCGATAACTGGCAGTCGTCAACTTCGTTGTTCATCGTAAAATGCCTCATGACCGACACTAAGCTCCCTGCATAACTTTCGGACGTCTTGAACGGACAGCACTTGTAGCCTGTGGGATCAAAAATGACAAGCACTATGTCGGACAGCTGCTGAGCCAAGAATGAGCGGCGCAGCGAAGCGTGGCCGCCCAACTAACAATAATCACTCCTATTAGAGTTGCAAAAATGATTATACAGTATTCCTTAGACAGCATTGTATACTGTAAAAACATTGGCAAAACCCTCTTAGCACAGCTATACAAGCGGAATGGGCACACCTAATAGGACACTTCAGTCATTTAAGAGGTTGTATAAGGGCTGCAGGTAACAGTCATAAAATAAAAGTGTAAGCCCCTTGCAGCCGCTATAGGACATTTGCGTCAGTGCAAGATTCAGTTTTTGTCAACTATACAACTACTCTGTTACGTGATTCTACTTTATTGCAACCCAACTATTTTTTATGTATTGCATAGGCGAAGTGAAGAATATATAACTAACACATTACAGTCATCTTGTTTACTTACATATCGGCCATTGTGAATTTCACACACAGGTATATGATAAACTTCTACACTGTGATATAGGGCTATTGAATTACTTGCGCAGCAAGTTTTATTATGGTTATCGTGCAAAGTAGTTACGCAATTTCTACGGGCTTCATATTTCATGCATATTTTGATAATGATCAAAACTATGTCTAGATTTTTAAGATGGAAAACTGAACTTATCTGCGTCAAATCTTCCACAAATCCTATATTTAGACACAATCACACTAATGTTTATCACTTTATATCTGCAATTTCGAACTGAAACATAATTATTTAATATTACATAGAGGAATAAATGTTTGCCCAATATGGCTGGTCGTTGTGTATAAACATGGCATCGTCCATGTTGTCTTCAGTTTATTAGAATGTTTTGGTGTTGCCTGCAGGTGTTATACAACAATTTGACAAATGTCTGAAATGAAATACCGACAGAGTCCAATGATTTACCCAGAATTTGTATCAGATCTATATCTTCTGTTTGAACAGTTGATCAAACCTTTTGAACGAATATGCATGCGTTGTTTGTCTGTATTGGTTATGGCATTTTAACAAAAGTTAGGTTATGGTGAAGTTGTATACCAACATATTTAACATATGTACAGCCTTTAACAGTTACTAAACAACAGTTGTATAAGTGCTTCCGTTGGGAGCAACTTGTTGGCTTAAGTAGTAATATGCACAGCAAAACAACAAGGCTCGATTTTATTTTACAAACGTTACCATGGATGCCACAACACAACCATTTTGACTAACGTGCAAATATGCCGTATAAAATAGTTGTATAGACGTTTATGCAACAGTTACAAATTTGCCCTATAAGGTGTTGTATAACTATGCTAAAGAATATTTTAAACACCTCATTTTAGAGCAAATATGTTGCAGAAAGCAAATTTGCATTCCCCACAACATTAAGCCAGCATTTTGGTGTTCAGGCAACAACAATAGAGAGCTTTTATGGCTGAATGGTTCTTTGACCAAAAGCTTATAGCACTACTTCGCTAGTTGGGCGATGGAACTGATAGTGGGAAGACGGCCACCCGCGGCAGGGGGTTTTGGCCTTGGCTCTGGGAACCTTTTTTCAACCCTCGTAGCTTTCAGGAAAAAGAGATCAGTAACTTTGTGTGTACTGTAAAGGTTAACAATATGTTTTGAATCATCAATAACGAGCCCGTTTGTTTTGTAGGATTTTATAGACAAGATTTCATAAAGCGAGGCATCACAAATGAATCAAAACAGACGTATTTGGCTTTTCATTCAAGGTCTTGTGATGGAGGCCAAGGGCTTTTCATGCAAATAAAGAAAACTCAGAATCCTTCTCATTCTTTTAATATGAAACTTCAAATTTAATAGCAGACAATAGTGATATAATAATTTCTACAACATAGGCGATAAGCAAAATCATGAAGTTACCTAACCTGCGTACCGAATCACCATTCAACATAATGTATAAGTTTAAATGATGATTCTGGGAACTTAACGTTCGAGACCGCTCTAGAAGAAGATTTCAAGGGTGACCCCCTCCCTTCAGTTACTACGGCACCTTGTGCCCCCCATACGATTGAATATTGGCTAAATACTGGCTGCAACCAACTGCCTCTGATTCAAACCGAGTCAACGCCCTTCAGTTTGACTTGACCGCGACAAAATGGCGGTTCGCGCCGCCTGACCTTAGATAGGGTTGATTTGCTTAATAGGAACTCAATTTATAGCCACTTGGCTGAAAAACAATATCCTTACTAGGAGCGCCTCTGGTACAATATAAACCTGTCATAGACACATCCGAAAGCAGAGATAGTTACCTCGTTTAGCACCCTGCTATTTGTTGCCTTAGGGACCTGCGCGCTATTGGGGAGTACATAGAAGAATGGGTTCAGGATGCCCATTCA